TGGCCTCGAGCTCACAGAGATCCACCTGGCTCTGCCTCCTGAGTGCTTGGATTAAAGGCATATGCCACCACAGGTCAGCTATCAGGATTTTTAAAATCAGGAAATAATGAGAGTAGTGATATCTTTACATCACTGTGACAAAATTCACTGAGACAAACACAGGATGAAAAGTCTATTTTGGCTCAAATTTTAGTTCATAGTCACTTTTGCCCTGTAACCTTCAGATCTATGAGACAGCAACTGATGGTAGACAATATATGGCCAGTGAGGTGGCCCCATGGTGGCCGAGAAGTGATAGACAGAGATATAAAGATAGATGGATAAATAGATGATAGATAGATAGATGATAGATAGATAGACAGATAGGTAGATAGATAGATAGGTAGATGATAGATAGATAGATAGATAGATAGATAGATAGATAGATAGATAGATAGATAGATAGACAGATGCTTTATGAAGAATTTACCTAGCTGAAAAGTGAAAGACTAGAGGTGAGGACTAGTAAGAAGCAGTTGGGAGCCTGATATGATGTGCATATCCGTAAATCTAGCACTCAGGAGGCTGGGGCATGAGAATCATGAATTTGCCACCAGTCTGGAGACCCTGTGTAAACACATGGGTAGAGGTGGGAGGGGTTGGGGATAAGGAGCAGGTTGCCAAAGGAGGGGAACTGGCTTTGGAAGATGGGGGTGAAGATGGGGCATCCAAGTGGAAATGTTCAAAGGAAGAGCATGGAGATCTGGAAGAATCTCTGAAGAGGAGAGGACAAGGGAAGGACCTTGCTTTAACTTTGCTCTGTTCTCGTGACAAGTACCATGACCATTAGCAACTTGGGGGAGGAAAAGGTTTATTTAGCTTATAGTTGTAGTCCATCATTGAAGGAAATGAAGGAAGGAACCGAAGCAGGAAATCTATGCAGAAAACACGGAGGAATGCTGCTTGTTGGCTTTCTCACATCCATGCTTAGGCTAGCTTTCCTATACACCCAGGACAACATGACCAGGGAGTAGTTCTGCCCACAGTGGACTGCATGTTCCCACATCAAGTAACAATCAAGACAATCCCCACAGGCATGTCTACAGACTGATGCAAGCTCATCTGGGCAATCCGTCAACCAGTAGATTCCCTTATCAAGCAACTCTAGTCTGTGTCAAGCCGACTGTTAACTATGACTGACCTTGGCAGTGTCTCTTTCTGTACACTAATCTAGCCTCAAACTCATGGTCCTCCTGCCTCAGCCTCTGATGTTTTGGGATTACAGGTGCATAATGCCTTGCCTGGCTCAACGTCAATATCTTAATGAGAATGACATCATGAAAAGGGTCCCAAGATGAAGTTGCCACAGTAACAAGAAGAAATCTGAGTGCTTCTAAGTATGGTGGAGACCAAGGGAGATGAGAAGCATGGCATTTCATCCGAGTATAAGAAGAATCCTGTCTGAAACCACCAGTAACTTAAGGAAAATAAAATCTAGAAAAGAGATGCTTGTTGACACTGGAGCCTGAAGTTTCAGAAGTCGTGGAGATCCACCTCACTGTGGGTGAGAAGCTGGTGGAAGGTGAGGAAGTGTGCCTGCAGGAGATTGGCTGGAAAGTAAAGAGACATGCTGTAGCCATGGATGCAGAGAAGATGAGTCAAAGAATGGGCTTTTTAAATTCCCAAAGAGGAGCCAGTGGAGAGGACGAGGACAAAGACAGAGGGATAAGAGGGAAAATACTTAGGACACTCAAGGTGAGCAGAGTCAGGAACACGGGTGGGGATCGGCCCTAGGCAGAATGATGTCAGGATGTGGCTTGAGGGTCTTAGGGGAGACCGTGTGTAATGGTCACTCTACAGAGCAAGGACAACAGTCAAGGGACAGTGTGGCTGTAGCTCTGATTCTAAACTTTCGTCTGGAAGGGCACAGCTGGTTTGCGCTAAGCCTCATGTTGACACCACTTTCCCTAGTGTATTAGTCAGGGTTCTCTAGAGTCGTAGAACTTATGGAATGAATTTCTCTCTCTCTTTCTCTGTCTATCTATCTATCTATCTATCTATCTATCTATCTATCTATCTATCTATCTATCTATCTATCTATTTATCTATCTGAGTTTATTGGAATGGTTTACATGCTACAGTCCAACAATGGCTAGTTGTGAATGGAAAGTTCAAGAATCTAGATGCTCAGTTCCATGAGGCTGGATGTCTCAGCTGGTCTTCTGTATATGCTGGAACCCCCAAGAAGCAGGCTCTAATGCCAATGAAAAAATGGATGTACTGGCAAGGTGAGGGCAAACTAGTGAAGAATAAACCCTTCCTTCTTTTATTGTCCTTATATAGGCTTCCACCAGAAGGTGTAGCCTAGATTAAAGGTGTGTCTTCCAGCCTCCAGATCTGGCATGTTGTCTTCTTGCCTCAAGACCCAGATCACAAGTGTGCCCTCCATTTCTGGATTATAGTTCATTCCAGATATAGTCAAGTTGTTGACAACCAAGAATAGCCATCAAACCTAGCTCTATGTCACAATTAGTTTGTATGTTACTCAGATCTATGTTGCTTTGATAAAACACTTGAGACAATCAACTTATAAAGAGGAAAGATTTATTTTGGCTTACAGGCATGGAGGTTTCAGTCCATGACCCATTGCTCTGGGTCTGTGGTGAGACAAAATACCACAACAGAGAAGATGAAACAGAACAAACAGCTCACCTCATGTCCAAGACATGAAAGGCAGAGGGAGGGGAAAGGACTCGGCTCTCACAACCCTCTTTAAGGCAGACCCCCAATTAAAAACCTCACCTTAGGCCTCACCATTCACAGGTTCTGCTACCTTTCAATAGTGCCAGGCTGGAGACTAGGTCTTTGGTACCCAGGCTTTGTGGAAGTCTCAGCCCCAGAGACCAGGCTGGCTACAGGACAAGCCACAGATGGTGGTTAAACAGGAGGCACTCCTTTCTCATAATTCTGGGGCTGAAAGTCCAAGATGAGGCTATCAACATGGCTGGGTTCTCAGCAAAGATCTGCCTACGTTATCCTCAGTGGTTATCATGGTGCGCGCACGCATACATACACACACACACACACACACACACACATACACACACACACACACACACAGGGGCACTGGGGGCTTTGGTCATCCTGGCGCACACACACATAGTGGGGGCTTTACTCCCTCTTGTTATAGAGGTGTTACTTCCTCCGTGACTCTATCACCGCCATGACCTCATTTAACCCTGTCGGTCTCCTAGGATACCACACCAAGGAGTAGGGGTTCTCTGAGTCTAGGATGGATGTAAACACTGTGTTTCCCCCACTTTGTCTTGTGGATTTCAACATTTTCCCAACAGGGCTGGTCAGAGGTGGGACAAGGAGCATGTGGTAACTCAGAGGTCAGCGGAGGTCACTATCTTACCCAGCTGATGCAATCTCTTTCAAAGTGTTAAGAGTCCCATGGACTTCCAAGAGGCTAGTATTCTCAAGGTCACCTCTGGCTTCCGGCTCCCACTTCCCCTGAATTATGAGGCCCCAGCACATTCACCTGCTAGTGTGGATGATTTGCTGGAAACCCAAGGCAGTGGGAGATTTAAACCACAAACATTTGAAAACACACCTCAGCTTCTCTTCAGAAATCCTTCCGTCGCATCTGAAATCACGGCTTTTCCCAACATCTCTGTGGCCCCGCCCATTTCTCTTAAATCCTCTTCTCAGACACCGCCTGATGAGATTACTGCCTGTGACCAATGCTGCCCCACGTCACCAGCTTCACCCGCTGCCTCCGTGTTGCTGACTCAGTTATTTCCTGAAACAAAAATGGTTCTCTCTCCCTCCCTGACAGAAATTCTCGTCTCAGCTTCTAACATAATACATGTTTTTGGGGCTGGAGAGATGGCTCGGTGGTTAAGAACTCACACCTAAGTTCAGGCCCCTGTAACCAATGTTGGGTGGCGCACAACTGCCTATAACTCCACACCTTCTGACTTCTGTGGGAGCCTGCACACATGTGCACGTAGCCCCTGCCCAACACACATACAAATAATAAATACCTTAACATTTAAAAATTAAAGCAAACTAATATAATCTTATACCAATGTATAATTTTGAAAAATAAAAATTACCCTGGACCTTCCCCTGTAGCAATGGTTCTCAACCTGTGGGTTGAAATCCCTTTGGGGTTTGAATATTAGATAACCTGCATATCAGATATTTACATTACGATTCATAACAGTAGCCAAATTACAGTTATGAAATGAAGTAGCAATGAAATACTTTTATGGTTGGGGGTCAGCACACCATGAGGAGCTGTATTAAAGGTTCACAGCACTGGGGAGGTTGAGAACCACTGCCCTTTAGATTTATCAGTAGATGTTCTAGCCACATCCCCCTGAAGCATGCAGCTTAACTGTAAAAACCGCGTCCACCATTGGTATAGAGAATACGACTTCTTTAATTTTGGGACGGGAACCAGCCTTGAACTCACAGTCCTTGGCCTCCTGCCTGTTGAGAGAGGTGACTTTCAGACCCACCTCTGTGGTAAGGTGAGTATAGTTGCTTTAGTTTAACAACAAAAAAAAACAAACGATGATTATATAAGGCATCCAAATGTAGCGCATTCAGCCCCCGGCCCACAGGTTCAGTGTCTCTGTGCATATAGCTAATTGTAAATAGAAAATATTTGAGGAGGGCAAGACGGTTCATCAGGGAAAGGTACCTGCCACCAAGTTTGACAATCTGAGTTTGGTCCCTGGAACCCACGCCGGGGAAGGAGAGAACCAAATCCTTTTACATTGTCCCCTGGCCACCATATGTGTGCTATGGGCTGTAGTCACATGAGTGGGCATACACACACACACACACACACACACACACACACACACACACACACACAAATAAATAATAAATAAACAAAAATTTAAAAATAAGAATATTTGGGGAAAACGACGCTTCAACTAAACAGGGACAGTTTGTCCTGTGGGTCCCTAAGCAGCACAGTGCAGCAGCGGCTTGACAGCACTTACTCGCGTTAGGAACTGTCCGTTCCGTAGAGGTGGGTCCAGCGTGTGGAAGGACGGGCACCAGCCGTATGTAAGCCTTATGACCCTACGTAAACCCCAAGACGCTTTATGACTTGGGCATGCGCAGAAGGAGGTCCCGGAACCAATTGCGGGCAGATAGCGAGGGACGGCTGCGTCACTTGAGTTTTATAGGAACACGTTGCTGGGGCAGTGCCGGCCCTGTTCCTTACTTACAAAAAGGAGTGAGTTGGACTCAGAGCCAGGGCCATGCTCAATGCCAGCTGTGACCGCAGCAAGGGCAGCTTGTAGGGGACTGTGTTCGTCTGTCCTTCTGTTCTAGCAGGGTAGCTGTCCGGCTGCAGAGCTCTGGTTTCGAGGCCTACTGCTTCTGATCATTTCACAGGACCCCTCTAGAGCCACACTGTGGTGCTCGGCTTTTGACCATCAGTGGTGATGATTTCGTCTTACATGTCTTTTGGTTTGAGAGTTGGGGTTTTCTAAATCTCCTGCTATCTATCTATCTATCTATTTGGTTTGAGAGTTGGGGTTTTCTAAATCTCCTGTATAAAATCCACAAACAATCTAGTAATATATATATATTTAAATATTTTTGTTTTTATTTTATGTGGTATGCATGTTTTGCCTGCATGTGTGTCTGTGCACCATGTACATGCAGTACCCATGCAGGCCAGAAGAGGGTGTCAGATCCTCCGGAACCAGAGTTACAGACAATTGCAAACTGCTGTGTAGGTGCTGGGAACCAAACCAGAGTCCTCTGGAAGAGCAGTCAGTTCTCTTAACCACTGAGCCATTTCTCCAGCCCCTAATCTAGAAATCCTGAAATCTCCTCTTTAAGAATTTTTTTGGGGGTGCGGGTAGGGTGGGCAGTTAGGGTGCGAAGGGAAGGGTGAAGAGAAAATTGTGGGTTCTCTCCTCAGTTCCCATTTCCTTTGGGATTTTCAGAGCAACACTGATGAGTCTGGCCAAGTCCAGGATCTGTATATCACCAAACACTGGAGGTCTGGTGCACCACACAAAACATTTTATCATCATTTGTCATCCACAGAGTGGAGAGTCCAAGGTCAGAAGCCAAGTGCACCTGCAAATTTGTCTGCCCTCTTGATGAATTGCCCTTTATCTCATCCGTCTTTGTTAGTGACCAGGCAAGACATCATAAATTGTTTCTCTAGATAACATAACGAATATTGATGCAGCCGAAATGCAATGAGTAGGTGGGATGGATGGTTATTAGATGAGAAAGAAATCGATGTAGTGTAACCTCAGGGCTCGATTTCAATCCCAGTTTGAAAATCTGTTTTGTGGGTAAGAAGGAAGCCATTGTAGTGGAACTGCTGGAAATATGGCAGAGGAGAGGTCCCTGGCAGTCCTGTTCAAAGGACGGACTCTCAAGCAGCAGAATGGACATGGTTCAGTGGAATACAACAGGGTGTGGGAGAGAGGCTTGCTCCAGGCCTCTAGGCAAAGCTAGAGTCCTATCAGCAGGTAGATTCAGGATGAGAAACAAAATATGGCCTGGAAATGAAGTCTCTAATGTCCTTTGAAGAGCCCTTTGTCAAAGGCTTTGCCTCTAATGTGGTGCTCTTGTGGGGGAGGAACCTTTAAGAGTCAGGGCCGAATGGCAGGTCTTTAAGTCACTGGGAGTATGTCATTGAAGGGTCTGTGGAGACTCAATGACCTCTTTGCTCTCTTTGGCCCCTGACTTGGAGTATAAGCGCCTTTCCCCCCCACCCCCATCATGTCATGATGTTTTGCCATGGACTCAAGATGGTAAGACCAACCCTTTATGGATCAGAACTTCCAAAATTGTGAGCCAAACAAACCTTTTTTCTTTATAACTTCATCATCTCAGGTACTTTGTTATAGTGCTAGAAAGCTGACTAACATCCCAGCATTAAAAAGCATAACATTGAGCAAAGGTGGAAAGTCACTCAGAACCTTGCTTTATATCTTTTGCTTGTTTGTTTTTTTCCTGTTTTTGGTTTTGGTTTTTTTGAGATAGAGTTTCTCTGTGTGACAGTCCTGGCTGTCCTGGAATTCCCTTTGTAGACCAGGCTGGCCTCCAACTCACAGAAATCCACCTGCCAGTGCCTCCCAAGTACTGGGATTAAAGGAGTGAGCCACTGCCACCCAGCTGTTTGTTTTTTGAGACAGGGTCTCACTATACAGCTCTGGCTGTCCTGGAACTCACTTTGTAGACCTGGCTGGCTTTGAACTCACAGAGAACTGCTAGCCTCTGCCTCCCTAATGCTGGGTTGAAAGGCCTGTGCCACTATGCCCGGCTCCTCACTTTACCTTTTCATTGGAGATGCTAAAGTCTGCTTTGCAGATAAAGATTAGCAACAGTACACGGTACATAGCAATGCTCAATAGCAGCAATTATACTTCACACAAGGGAATTGTTTCATAGTCAATAAATTAGAAGGCTTTTTGGTTTTATGTATAAGTGTGTTTTAACATGATTTACTCAAGAGTAAAGTGCACAGCAATATAAAAAAAAAAAAACGTGCCCACATTCCTTCCCTTGTTTAATTTTCCCACAATTCCTGATCTTTTAAATTTTTTATTTTCTATTTTTTGTGTGTATGTGTCTGTGTGTTTGGGCATTTGCACATGAGTATATGCAGGTGCCCATGGAGACCAGAGGCATCAGATCCCCTGGAGCTAGAGTTACAGGCAGTTGTGAGCTGCTTGATATGGGTGCTGGGAACTGAACTCTGGTCCTCTAGAAGAGCAACAAGCCTTCTTAACCCCTGAGCCATCTCTCTAGGCCTTGATTCCTGGTCTTAATATACAAAATGGTAAGGTTAATGTTTAGCAATAATGTCTGTCATTGAATGTATGCCATAGATTGTCACGAGGGCCACTTGGGAAGTATTATCTCACAGAAAATGCTTTGGGAAGCTCTAGAATGTACTGTAGTGTACTGTAATAGTATTTTTAGGTATGTTTTCTCAGCACTGAATATGAGTACGCATAGAAGACTCGACTTCTTGGTGCTCTTACAGTGAAGGAAATGTGTCCTTTTACACACATGTGTTGTGGAGAAGCCTCCAGGCAGGAAAGGTGGTAGACAGGAAAAGTTGTTTCTTGCCCAAATCTCTCACAGCTGACAACCAGGCTCTCTTCTCTCATTTGTCTTCTAGCCACTCTGAGTAAACACTTGCCACACACCATTGAGCAGTGGAGATCATAAATCTTCCAGGAGAGTAGCTAATAATAATTTGGGTTCTGGGCATCAGAGAATGTTAAGCTAAAAGCCACAGATGCATAGTGGGCAATTCCGTCTCTTCCATCAACCTCTTACAGCTCTGGGACTTTTGTTTTGAAAAGATGTGCTGGGGAGGGATCTGTATGCACTTGTTATAATCAGCCAAATAATGTAAAGCCGCATGAGAAAAAGTCAATGTCTCTCCTTCCTCTGTGTCTTCCATTCTCAGTTGTCAGAATCACACGATACTGATGCCTCAGTGCAGGTTTTTTTTCTTCCACAGGTGAACGAGTGTTTCAGCCATGACACAATGGATGGATGGTTTAGCAAAATAATCTATTGCATTTTCTCTTGGCTCTGGAGGTCCCAGTGTGTCTCCTCTTCAGACAAGTTTAACTCCTGTCTTGCCCTGCATCAATCCCACAGATATCTTTCACCAAGTTCTCCGAGTCCTTCTAGTGAATTGCTGGGCTGGAGTGTGGTTTGGGAACCCCCTGAACTTGCAGTTGGTGTTAAAAGCAAGGGTGGTTTTTATGTAAATTCTTCCCTCTAACTTTTTCTTTGGACTGACATAAAATACAAAAAGCAAAGTAAATTTCCTTTTCTCTCTGTTTTGGAGATCAGGCTGCTGATGGGTTTGACCTCTGGTTTTCACAGAAACATCTTTCTATGACGTCCTGTGGTGGAGGGAGAGATCCCTGGCACCTCTCTGTCTTGTGGGACTATTTTGTTTTTCTTCTCCTTTTGTTTCTTTCTCCTCCTTCTTCCTCTTCCTCCTCTTCTTCTCTCATCCTTCTCCTCCTCTTTCTTTTAGCTCTTATCACCTTCTTAGCTGCCCCCATGCAGCTAAAAGCCTTCCTAAGGGAGACATAAGCAACATCTACCCCTCTTCATAGAGTTTCTGATGACAGACTAAGGCACAAGTTCATTGAAGTTCATTCTGGGGGAAAGTGAGTTTTTTGGGTTTTCTTACAGAGCATAGGTAAGGGGTAACCTACAGGGTTGTGGGAGCTCCTCACCCAAAAGACCACACCAAAAACATTTAACCTAGCAGACATGAGAGTGTTTTCATAGCCATATGGATGGTGCCTCCCTCCTCAATCTTTCCCTGGTATATACTGTAGCTCTCCCGAGACCACATGAGTGAGGGCAGAGTCACATACAGTGACTTTCTTATGAGGAGAAAGTGATCCTAGCAGTCATTCACCACCCTTCGCTTCCTGAGTGCGGCTGCGATGTGACTAGCTCCTGCTACCATGGTTTTTCTCCAGTGACGGACTGCACCCTGGAACTGTGAGCCAAAAGAAGTCCCTCATTCCTGAAGTTGCATTTGTTGGGTGTTTTATCACAAGACAAGTGCTGACATACGGGATCAGTTTCTTATGAAACAGGCTGCGGCTGCAGCGGCCTCTTTGCTCCTCTTACCACGGAAGGACGCCATGCAAAAGCAAGCCCTGGCCAGACGCCAAACCTTCCACGGCTCGGACCAGGACCAGAACTATGAGGAAAAAGTCTCAGTTCCTTTTTTCATTATCCATCTGTTGTAGTGTCCCAGGTGGGAAGGGCATCTTCCTAAGTCCAGGTCAGCCTTCTGAGCGAACAGTGTGTCATAGCCATGTCTGTCAGTCCCTGAAACAGAGGTCCAAGTGCCCACCAAACACACCCCGCCCCCAGACATACGCTGAGATTCCACTTCTGGGTTAAGAGGGACTGAAGGTCATGCTGAGTTCCATCACATCTGCAAGTGAGGCTCCTTCTCTCTGTCTATTGTAGGAATGGGCAGAACTTCCGGGACTCAGGGAGGAGCTAAAGGTCCCAACAGAAACACTTGTGTTGGGTTCTTACTGCTC